GTTTAGATAGTCTCATCTTTCTCCCATGAAGTGACTGGTGGATTCGAACTGATGAACTTATGGTCAGAAGCTCAGTATATGGCCCATTTTACACCTGAGCTTGTTACTCCTTGCTATTAGAGGCCTGACTTTATTTATATTACCATCACAAGACGGACCTAGGTGATCAGAGGATTCTCTTCACCTACCTCAGACAAAGAACCATGATTAATCTAACCCAGTCAAAAAGCTGAACGTGGATTTAGCCTCTGACCACAGACAGCGATGTGAATAGCCTTGCTACCATGTACAATGTATTGAAAAGTGGATAATTGCAAATGCAATTAAGTTAAAATTTAATACTTTATCATTTGATCTCCCTTTTGATCCATTTTAAATTTGTTCTAGTTTCTAATATTTTCTGCTTTATTTTCAATTGAGGTTTTTAATCTCTTGTTTTGTTATTGATGTTATTTGTTGGTTTATTTAATGTTTTTCTGTATATGAAATCCAGGATAGGTAAATCTATGGTTACAGTAACTAGATCAATCATTCCGTGGGGGGATGGCAAGGTTGGTGTGAAATAGGAAACTAGTAACAATGAGTACAAGAATGAAGAAAACATTCTAAAACTGATTGTAGTGACGACTGTGCACTCTTCTTGATGCGAATGAACTGCTGAATTGTATGAGATGTGAATTATATACCAATAAATCTGTTTTAAAAAAACTCATCGAGTCGATTTAGACTCAGTGATCCTATAGGATAGAATAGAACTGTCCGTGTGGGTTTCCAAGACTAATTCTTTACAGCCACAGAAAGCCACATTTTTCTCATGAGGAACAGCTGGTGGTTTTGAACTGCTTGACCTTGTGATTTGTAGCTCAAAACGTCCCCTTGCTAGTGACCAGATTAGACATGGGCATTTGAAGTAATCTACTGAGAAGATTTCTGGGAAAGGATTTCTTCATTTTTAATAAGTGATGTATAATAAAAATCTTCCTACTATCTTGGAAGACAGACATATGGAAAAGTAATGGTGTTCAGAGCTCTGGAAAAGGCGCACCAGGGTTAAAGGAGGAGGAGCAATGAAAACAGGAAACACAGGGAGGAAGTGGAAGGCGTGATGGTACCCTGAAGGGACTGCAATGGATGAGGTGCAGCAAAATGTTTATGAACTGCTGGATGTAAACCTTCTAGCGATGAAAGGAGATAGAATTAAGGAGTCTAAAGGAAACAGCTCTTCAACTATATTCCTAAAAGCGAGAAGACATGTCAGGAGAAAACTGCAAACCTGGGGGTGGGGGTGGGGGACAAAGTATATGATCAGAGACAGCAGAAGGAGTGGAGTGTCTGTCCCGAGAAGTTCAATAAGCTTTGGCAAGGTGCCACTGAAAACTACACATGGTAAAAAGGACATTCATCTAAAATGAGTTTAAGCACTAGTTAGATACAATTTGACAAAACAATCTCTCTGTAGAAAGCTTTAATATATTCCTTAACCCCAGTTACTACTCACCATTAAAAAGTAATGATCCTCAGGTTCTGCTCGAAGATATTTAAAAATCACTTGCTCCATAAATCTTTCCATAAGATCCCAATCTTCAATTATACCGTGTCGTATTGGCCACTACGACAAGAGAAACCAGTAGGTTAAGCTTCCGTCCTCCAGAGTGGACTTAACAAGATGGAACAGAAGACTGTGCTTTGGGAAAATAAAATTCTTAATTTCATGAAATCAATGTTATTCATGTAAAATATAACAGGCACTATTTTTAAATAGATTAATGTCTTAAAATATTAATATTTTATTATTGATATATAATTTTTATATATATTATTTATATTCTACTCCTACTGCATCATCAAGTAGGAAGAATCACCTTAAGAATGGAATGACACCATGATGCTCACCATCCCGACACAATCCTTGAAGACAAATGGGTGCATAAGCAAATGTGGTGAAGAAAGCTGATGGAGCCGGCTATCAAAAGATACAGTGTCTGGAGTCTTAAAGACATGAAGGTAAACATGCGGCCATCTAGCTGAGAAGCAGCCAAGTCCACATGGAAGAAGCACACCAGCCTGTGAGATCACCCGAGGTGTCAAAGGGATCAGGTATCAGACATCAAAGAACAAAAAATCTTATCATTGTCAATGAGGGGAAGTGCAGACTGGTGACCCAA